AAATATAGTGTTAATTGTATGTGGACTAAAGATATCAATATCAATTTGTTACTTTAAGGGGGCCATCGCGCTCGAGAACGAAGTTCATCAGTAATTATTGTATTCTAGTGATTTTTTATTGTTATACACACATATAAAGTGATAAACACCACCAAATTTCATATCATTTGGATAACAAGTTATGAAGTTATTTAAGAAAAAGTTTTTGAACAATCACAGAATCTTTAAAATTGCACTAATCTATTGAACAAACTTTTTGAAAAAATATCACCTATACTCTATACCAATACCTAAAACTTGCAAAGACCAGAAATTTTAATTTCCTTTTAGTTTAGTGGGAATTTATTTTTTTCTAAATGTTCAGTCTTATGAACAAAGATATGGATTTCTATTACCTAAAAGGAAAATTGGCTTTAACAAAACCATCACAAACCTATTCAGCTTTCAAATGATCCAAACCCCTTTAGAATCACCCACGTAGGTATGGAGCCTTTAAAAAAATGTTGAAAACTGTTGACAAAAGCGTAGTTTTGAGATATCAGGCTGAAAAGTTTAGGATACTTATCCCTCAATGTTTTTTTGTATTTTTTATGTTTTTTTAGAATTCTTATCTCTGCGTCAACTAAAATAACATCTACAATTAGTAGTGTCCCCTTACTGTGTTATATGGGCCTACATCTGCAATATGGTGTCGTGAAGGTAGGAGGCGGCAACCTTTATCTCTGATTTTCTGGTGGAGTTTTGTCTCCCAGAGCCCCAGTCTTGACAATCAGGTGATGGGTAAACAGAGTTAACATCTAGGTACCAGAGAATGCTTAAAAAAAAAAATTGTCGTGTATATTTGCACAGACACGACAAAGTAAACATCGGAGCGCCTGCTATGGCTCGTTGTCTTGCAGCCGGCGCGCAAGTCCCTCAGCACCCAGAGAGGTACGTCGCTAATGAGCGCCCAGGTACACCTATGTGGACTTTTGCTTGTGGCAATCGTGCATAAGGCATTTAATTATGACATTGTGCATATATATGAGTTTGTGAATGTTCAAGGAACACTTTTATACCAATATCAGGAAAAAATTATATTACTTTGATATATGACAAAATGTTTTGTGAAATATATCTAAAACAAAATGTATGTATTGTGTCCTTTTACACACGAAATATGCTTTGATCGAGACTCCCTGGTAATATGTTTTAGTTTACGAGGTAATATATAAGTATATCACGTACGAAGCACTAATGTTTAAAAATAGCTTTATAAGGAAGGATTGAAATATTTCCGTTACATTTCGCTCAACGGTCGGTACATCACAGCAGGGGGCAATTTGAATTGATTTGATATTGGTAGTTACTGTTGTAAAGACCAATTCAATACGAATGTTAACTAAATGTCAGATTTTTAAACTTCGGATGTATAAGCGAGATACAGATTATTTCATGTTGGAGATGATAGTACTCAGTAATACCTGCTCTAAAATAAAAACTGTATGGAATTTTGAGCTCGGTTGTATGCGTAGTCTTCGTCTGGCGTTCAAAAAGCTATCGCATCCGTTTCGTGCGTTCCCGATAAAAATGAATATGTTTAGACGTTACCATAAGTCTTAGGCACCATAAATTGGCAAATATCCCACAACAACTAGGCGTCTGCATGATTTTATGCACTTCTTAGTAAAGATAGTGGGTGCAAATGGCTAATCATAATCTATACACTTGTTCTCCTTTGCAATCTGTTACTATTGACAATTATCAAAGAAAATGGTATGAGAGGGATAACTAATATATATTATTATTTAGATATGAAAGTCAATGTAGGCCTACTAAATTATGATGATTAATCTTTTTAACTTTATGTGCGTGCGTTCACATACATATGATCCTCCTCGAAAATTATAAACACCCAGTGACCATCTCCCCGCTCCCCCCTGTGTGAGGCATGGGAAATATTCAACGACTTTCGTAAGTTCTCGAATTCAATGTACTAAATTCATATGCTTTTAAAATTCTCAAAATTGAACCACCATGTTGTATTCATGCCAGGACTTTATAATTAGAATGATTTTGTACTAATGTTGCCATCCACAGTTCCCCATTTCTTCAAAATAAAAATAAAAAATAAAAATAAAATGGAAAAAAAAAAAAAATTAAAGAAAGGTTTTTATCTGGCTTAGACTAGTTGTCTCTATGGTAAAATGCATTTATTTAGCTTTTCTCAAAATATTAACTTTTATGAACAAAAAAAAAAAAAAAAAAAAAATTACATACCTTTTCAGAATAGCATCCCTATTGAATATGAAAATTCCTATAAACTTGGTAATCATTGCATTGCAAAGTACACTAAATAAGCATTTTTTTTTTATATATATCATTAGATTCAGAGAAAAATAACAGAGGTAACGAACTTTGGCAAGGGGCCAAATACAAAACGCCGTAGCTCCATCATTTTTTTATGAATCTTCGGTACATCCCAACTCACGTAATTTTCATGCGATCCAAATGCAGTTTGTTGCTTTCACTAGAGCCTCGGCGTCCCAAGGCCAGGTAAAAGGCCGATTTTTTAATTTTTGCCTTAATCAAAAAATAATATTTTGATACTGAAAAAAAAATCAAAAATAGTTCTCTATGTCAAGCTAAAAATTCGGCCTTTTACATGGCTATAGGCTAGAGTTGATCTAACACAAGTATTTTTGGGGGAATATTCTGTAAAGAGCTGTGATAGTTGGGATGTACCGAAGACATACAAAAAAAACAGCAATTTTTTTTTACTTTTTGGGGGGTGCCCCCCCAATGGGGAAGCAAAGTTAAAATATATATAAACATAACAGAGCGCAATTCTTTACTCTATAGCATGCAAAAAGAATCAATCACTTATCTCTAACCGATATTTTTTTATGATGTATAGAGTAGGGAAAGGTGGCCATTTTCCGGGACGGTCCCCTTAACCCAGTCACGCCGGGGTACATTTTGTAGCCCAAAGTAAAAAAATCCGGGAAGCTACAAAATCGGCGGGCGGAGCTTCCCCGGAGTCTGTCCGCCCCGCCGGCCGCCTGCCGCTTTTGCCGCGGAGCACGGCTCCGAGACAGCATCGCACTGGCGGGCAGGCCAAAACTGTTTATTTTTTCCTTGTGTCTCATATATGTGACACCCGGGATGGATGGGTTAAAGGACTTGTCTTCATCTTTTCTCTACCATTTTCATTATTACCAAAATTGTGATCTCAAACTTTGACTTTATTCTTTCTTTTTTCTTTTAACCCACACATATTAGGAACAGAATTTTCTGTGACATAATAGTTATACAGCTGTATAGCCCTTTTGGCTGGACATGTGCTGTGTACAGCCAGCTCATGTGCTCACTTGCTAAAACAAGTTATGACATACATACGTCATACATATATCAATCTTTTAGCCTGTCGCTACGGGGTTAACCAATATACTAAAACTGCATTTTTGTACAGCTGAATTTTTTTTTGTCATATTCCTCCTCTCTACAGGACTGTAAAAATTAAAAACTGTGAGACATATCCAGGCCATTCTTTTTCTGAATGTTATAGGAAGAAAAGAAGAGAAAGAGAGAAATAAAAAAGTAAAATTTTATCAAATCATATAAAAAAACACAGTATATTCCCTCTTCTTCAACAGGGTAAAATAGAATAACCAGGAATAACCAAGTAAAATAAAATAACCATCCTAGAATAACCAGGGGAGAGACCTATTAAAGTTTATGGCAAGATCTGAACCTGAACAATGTCATAAATACACACATCTTAATATTGCCAAATTCGGCATTTTGGTCACTTTGAATATAAGTGATCTTAAAAAATGCACCCCATATCCCAAATACTGAAGTGATAGAGGGTACACCTAAGCTCAACAAATTTCTCGTTAAAATCCATTAAACAGGAGGTTATGATAAACATGCTAAAACAAGTTATGACATACATACGTCATACATATATCAATCTTTTAGCCTGTCGCTACGGGGTTAACCAATATACTAAAACTGCATTTTTGTACAGCTGAATTTTTTTTTGTCATATTCCTCTTCTCTACAGGACTGTAAAAATTAAAAACTGTGAGACATATCCAGGCCATTCTCTTTCTGAATGTTATAGGAAGAAAAGAAGAGAAAGAGAGAAATAAAAAAGTAAAATTTTATCAAATCATATAAAAAAACACAGTATATTCCCTCTTCTTCAACAGGGTAAAATAGAATAACCAGGAATAACCAAGTAAAATAAAATAACCATCCTAGAATAACCAGGGGAGAGACCTATTAAAGTTTATGGCAAGATCTGAACCTGAACAATGTCATAAATACACACATCTTAATATTGCCAAATTCGGCATTTTGGTCACTTTGAATATAAGTGATCTTAAAAAATGCACCCCATATCCCAAATACTGAAGTGATAGAGGGTACACCTAAGCTCAACAAATTTCTCGTTAAAATCCATTAAACAGGAGGTTATGATAAACTTTCTAATCATCATCATATAGTTCTCTATTGATATCTTTGTTTTATCTGTTTGCAAATCTCTGTATGCCCACTTGTGCTAATTCCTACTACCGGAAAGAACAATAAAGATTGCCTCAGTGACATTTTTATCATTCACCTCAGTATACCAGTCATGTTTTTGTGATCTCTTTTATTACACAGGATTATAGGACCAGCAATTGGCTCTCATTTCTTTATTAATCTTGAGGAGGCATTTTATAATAGAAAAGACCAAAATATCTATTTCCCTTTGAGCTGAGTCTCTCTGAGACATAAGAATTCCGATAATGACTAGCATATTTAAAGTATGACGTAAGAATATTTACCAAAGACAAGGCTTAGTACTTCTCCCATACATAAATGTGAAACTGAAAATTTGTATCTGTAACCTCTGAAATATCTACATGGTCTTTTCATACAAAAAAAAATCATTATATCACAAAAATCATATATAGATGATGATAAAAAAAAAAAAAAAAAAAAAAAAAAAAAAAAAAAAAAAAAAAAAAAATGGTTTGCAAAAATTGTCAATTTGGGTCATGATTTTGAAAATCATATATGGATCACCTTGTATGTAATATCTGCTGATTCAGAGAAATTTTAGTGGTGATAACACACATTTCACAGTCTAGTCCAAATCCAACCTCTGTGAAACCATTCTTTTTTCTTATGGTGCACTTGTGCCTTCACACAAACAAAGTTGCAATTAACTGGTGAATGTGATGATAATACCTAGCATCAGGTTGGTCACTTGGAATGTATATCCCACAACTATGTGCAGATAAACTACTGCAGGTGAGATAGATGTCATGAGAGCAACAGAGTCCACAGATCTAAAGAAACAAATGAAGCACTCAGACTTTGTCTTTACCCGATGAGAGTCCTGAATTATGAGAAGTCTTCATTTCTTGCTGCTTGATACGTGTGTAAGCCATGGAACCTCCAAGGACAATCCAATTGCTAATCCACCAGAGTGCAGCCTTGACTTCTCCATACCACCAAGTGGCCAACACAGTCTGGGCACAAGCCTTTGCTGTGCCACTGATGGTATGGGTTAGAGGTGAAGTTATCTGAAAGTACAATGGAAACCTGGTAAGTGCTGCTTTAGAGATAGTGCTTCTAGGTGGAAGATATAAATTTTTGGCTTTTTAATATTCTACCTTATATTTTATAAACAAGAACTCTAGTTATATTTAGCAACAACTGCTTTGAGACATAAAATCCCTTATTCCATAAACCTACAGGCACAGGTAAAGGAAATTAGCTATGTTCAGCATTACGTTTTATGCTACTTTTTCACACCATTATTCAATAAATATTCCAGGACATATTTGAACAACCTTAAATTCTAATAATGAAAAACTACACACAAATGAATGATATAAACCACATGAGAAAGAAACACATCCAAAAATTAAACCTTAAAATATCCAACTGACCTCAATGGTAACATGATAATACATACCTGAATCTGAAGTCCAGTTACATAGCCAATGGCAAAGCCAAAGAGTCCAGCAATGACCATTAATCCCCAGAAATTCAAAGAGCCTTCAGAAATCATCTTCCAAATTGCAGGTATTTCCCCATTTAGTATAATCAGGGGAATAAACAAAACCATGGCCAATGCATTGTTGTAATAGGACAGCATCCAAATTGAACCATCTAAAGCTGGTAAAACCTGTAAATATTAAGCTAGTTTTATGAAACTGAAATGACATAATACAAGAATTTAATATGGAGTACATTTTAATCACATCTACTAAAACATTAATTCAAACCAATGAAGTTTCTTACTTTCTTTGTAAAAATAGCATTCAAGGAAACAGATGCTGAGGCAAGGACTCCATATACAACTCCTGACACTGACAATGACCCTGTAAAAATTTTGAAGATAGTTTCTCATCTAGGAATATCAAATATCAATTGACAGATATTTAGTGCTCTGAATATACAATGAGAGTAGCTTACAACTCAATAATGCTTGGGTGCATGTATATATTCACCATAGACAAAAACAATAGGATGCATACATAAAACCACCACTATAAGAGTGTGTGTGCAAGCGTGTGTATGTGTGTGTGTGTGCACGAGTGACTGAGTGTTTGAGAATGCATGAATGAGTGAGTGAGAGATGGAGCAAGAGCATGTGTGTGTGTGTGTGTGTGTGTGTGTGTGTGTGTGTGTGTGTGTGTGTGTGTGTGTGTGTGTGTGTGTGTGTGTGTGTGTGTGTGCGTGTGTGTGTGTGTGAGCGAGTCACGTGTGTCAACATGAGTGTGTGTGTGTGTCAAAATGAGTGTGTGTGTGCGTATGTGTGTGTGTTCATGTGTAAGTGTGTGTGTGTAAGTGTGTGTGTGTGAGTGCGAGCGTGTGTGCATGTGCGAGCGTGTGTGCATGTGCGAGCGTGTGTGCATGTGTGTGTGATGCGTGTGTGCATGTGCGAGCGTGTGTGCATGTGTGTGTGCATGTGCGGGCGTGTGTGCATGTGCGGGCGTGTGTGCATGTGCGGGCGTGTGTGCATGTGCGGGCGTGTGTGCATGTGCGGGCGTGTGTGCATGTGCGGGCGTGTGTGTGTGTGCGTGTGTGTGCATGTGTGCGGGCGTGTGTGCATGTGTGTGTGCATGTGCGCGTGTGTGCATGTGCGGGCGTGTGTGCATGTGCGGGCGTGTGTGCATGTGCGGGCGTGTGTGCATGTGCCGTGTGTGCATGTGCGGGCGTGTGTGCATGTGCGGCGCGTGTGTGCATGTGCCGTGTGTGCATGTGTGTGTGCATGTGCGGCGTGTGTGCATGTGCGTGTGTGCATGTGCGGGCGTGTGTGCATGTGCGTGTGTGCATGTGTGTGTGTGCATGTGCGGGCGTGTGTGCATGTGCGGGCGTGTGTGCATGTGCGGGCATGTGCGGGCGTGCAATGTGCGGGCGTGTGTGTGTGTGTGATGTGCGGGCGTGTGTGCATGTGCGGGCGTGTGTGCATGTGCGGGCGTGTGTGTGCATGTGCGGGCGTGTGTGCATGTGCGCGTGTGTGTGCATGTGCGGGCGTGTGTGCATGTGCGGGCGTGTGTGTGCATGTGCGGCGTGTGTGCATGTGCGGGCGTGTGTGCATGTGCGGGCGTGTGTGCATGTGCGGGCGTGGTGTGCATGTGCGGGCGTGTGGTGCATGTGCCGGGCGTGTGTGCATGTGCGGGCGTGGTGTGCATGTGCGCGTGTGTGCAAGTGTGTGCATGTGCGGGCGTGTGTGCATGTGCGGGCGTGTGTGCATGTGTGTTGTGCATGTGCGGGCGTGTGTGCATGTGCCGTGTGTGCATGTGTGTGTGCATGTGCGGGCGTGTGTGCATGTGCGAGTGTGTGTTCATGTTCGAGTGTGTGCATGTGTGTGTGTGTGCATGTGCAAGTGTGTACATGTGCGAGTGTGTGTGCATGTGTGTGTGCACACTTGTGTGTGTGCTTGTGTGTTTGTGTAAGAATGTGTGTGTGCTTGTGTGTTTGTGTAAGAATGTGTGTGTGCTTGTGTGTTTGTGTAAGAATGTGTGTGTACATGTGTATGTGGGTGTGCGTGTATGCATGTGAGTGTGTGAGCATGTGTGTACATGTGTATGTGGGTGTGCGTGTATGCAAGTGAGTGTGTGAGCATGTGTGTGTATGTGAGTGTGAGTGTGTGTGCTTGTGTGAGAGTGTGTTTGTGTTTGTGTGTGAGTGAGTGAGTGTGTGTGACCATGTGTGTGAATGTGTGTGTATATGGGTGTGAATGTGTGTATATGAATGTGTGTGTATATGGGTGTGAATGTGTGTATATGAGTATGTGTGAGTGTGTGTGTACGAGTATGTGTGAATGTGCGTGTTTGTGTGTGTATGAGTATGTGTGAGTGTGTGTACAAATATGTGTGAGAGTGTGTGTACGAGTATGTGTGAGTGTGAGTGTTTGTGTATGAGTATGTGTGTGTGTGTATGAGTATGTGTGAGTATGTGAATGTGTAAGTGTGTGTGTGGTTGTGTATGTGTGTGTGTGTGGTTGTGTGTGTGTGTGTGGTTATGTGTGTGTGTGGTTATGTGTGTGTGTGGTTATGTGTGTGTGTGGTTGTGTGTATGTGTGGTTGTGTGTGTGGTTGTGTGTGTGTGTGGTTGTATGTGTGTGTGGTTTTGTGTGTGTGTGGTCGTGTATGTGTGTGTGAATGTGTAAGTGTGCATGTATGGTTGTGTATGTGTGTGTGTGTGGTTGTGTGTGTGTGTGGTTATGTGTGTGTGTGGTTGTGTGTGTATGTGGTTGTGTGTGTGTGGTTGTGTGGTGTTGTGGTTGTGTGTGTGAGTGTGGTTGTATGTGTGTGTGTGTGGTTGTGTGTGTGTGTGTGGTTGTATGGTGTGTGTGTGTGTTGTGTGGTGTGTGGTTGTGTGTGTGTGGTCGTGTGTTGTGTGTGGTCTTGTGTGTGTGTGTGGTTTTGTGTGTGTGGTTTTGTGTGTGTGTGGTCTTGTGTGTGTGTGTGTTTTTGGTGTTGTGTGGTCTTGTGTGTGTGTGTGGTTGTGTGTATGTGTGGGTTGTGTGTATAGTGGTTGTGTGTGTGTGTGGTTGTATGTGTGTGTGTGGTTGTGTGTGGTGTGGTGTGTATGTTGTGTGGTGTGTAAGTGTGCATGTATGGTTGTGTATGTGTTGTGTGTGTGGTTGTGTGTGTTGTGTGGTTATGTGTGTGTGTGGTGGTGTGGTATGTGGTTGTGTGTGTGTGGTTGTGTGTGTGTGTGTGGTGTTGTGTGAGTGTGGTTTGTATGTGTGTGTGTGTGGTTGTGGTGTGTGTGTGTGGTTGTATGTGTGTGTGTGTGGTTGTGTGTGTGTGGTTGTGGTTGTGTGTGGTCGTGTGTGGTGTGTGGTCTTGTGTGTGTGTGTGTTTTTTTGTGTGTGTGGTTTGTGTGTGTGTGTGGTCTTGTGTGTGTGTGTGGGTTTTTGTGTGTGTGTGGTCTTGTGTGTGTGTGTGGTTTGTGTATGTGTGGTTGTATGTATGAAGGTTGTGTGTGGTTGTGTGTGGTGTGTGTGTGTGTGTGTGTGTGTGTGGTTGTGTGTATGAGTGGTTGTGTGTGTGTGTGGTGTATGTGTTTGTGTGTGTGTTGTATGTGTGTGTGGGGTGTGTGTGTGTGGTCTTGTGTGTGGTGTGGTTGTGTGTGTGTGGGTCTTGTGTGTGTGTGGTTTTGTGTGTGTGTGTGTGGTTTTGTGTGTGTGTGTGTGTGGTTTTGTGTATGTGTGTGGTCTTGTGTGTGTGTGTGTGTTCTTGTATGTGTGGTCTTGGGGTGGTTGTGTGTGTGGTGTGTGTTGTGTGTGTGTGTGGGTGTGTTGTGCGTGTGTGTGGTTGTGTGTGTGTGGTTGTGTGTGTTGTGTTGTGTGTGTGGTTGTGTGTGTGGTTTGTGTGTGGTTGTGTGTTGTGTGGTTGTGTGTGTTTGTGGTTGTGTGTGTGTTTGTGGTTGTGTGTTGTGTGTGTGGTGTGTGTGTTGTTGTGTGTGTGTGTGTGGTCTTGTGTGTGTGTGTGTGTGGTCTTGTGTGTGTGTGTGGTCTTGTGTGTGTTGTGGTCTTGTGTGTGTGTGTGTCTTGTGTGTGTGTGTGGTCTTGTGTGTGTGTGTGGTCTTGTGTGTGTGTGTGGTCTTGTGTGTGTGTGTGGTCTTGTGTGTGTGTGTGGTCTTGTGTGTGTGTGTGGTCTTGTGTGTGTGTGTGGTTCTTGTGTGTGTGTGTGTGGTCTTGTGTGTTGTTGTGGTCTTGTGGTGTGTGTGTGGTCCTTGTGTGTGTGTGTGGTGTGTGTGTGTGGTGGTCTTGTTGTGTGGTGTGTGGTCTGTGTGTGTGGTGTGGTCTTGTGTGTGTGTGGTCTTGTGTGTGTGTGTGGTCTTGTGTGTGTGTGTGGTCTTGTGTGTGTTGTGTCTTGTGTGTGTGTGTGGTCTGTGTGTGTGTGTGGTTCTTGTGTGGAGTGGTGGTCTTGTGTGAGTGTGTGGTCTTGTGTGAGTGTGTGGTCTTGTGTGTTCTTACCTAGTTGTTACCTAGTTGTTTGAATACGGGAGAAGAGCTATGCTCAGGTGGTCCCGTCTGCTATATCTAAATTATCGTGTAACTTTTTAAATTGATGCACAGTTTTGGCACACACTACTTGATTGGGAAGACTGTTCCACGATTCAATAATTCTATTTGGGAAACTATATTTGGTGTTTCAAGATCAAAAAGTCATCCTTATCTATCTTCACTCTTCCTGTAATGCAGTTGAAAAGCATAATCATGTCCCCCCTTTTCTTTCTTTCTTCCAAGGTAGTAAGTCCTAACTTCTGTAGTCTGTCTTCGTAACTCAGATCTCTTAGGATATGTGCCCATCTTGTCGCCGCTCTTTGGACTCTTTCCAGTTTGTCAATAACTTTTTTTAAGTTTGGACTCCATACTACTGCACCGTACTCAAGACTTGGTCTTATGATTGCTTTAATGATCTTCTTTACCATATCTTCGTCCACATACACGAATGCCCTCTTCATGTTGGCAATCAGTCCTAACATTTAGTGGACTTTTCATTTATATGGTCATTTGGGTTTAGGTTTCTATTTATGATTATCCCAAGACCTTTTTCCCTGTCAGCTGTGTCTAATACTGCGTCCCCTAGTTTGTATTGGAATAGTGGACGATTTCTGCTTTCTCCAAACCTGACTACGTGGCATTTATTGGTACTGAATTCCATTTTCCATGTACAACTCCACATGAATAAGTTCTCGATGTGACTTTGGAGGCATTGGCATGAGACGTTGTCTGTTATCCTCTTTTGTATCTTTGCGTCATCTGCAAACATATTCAGACAACTACCTGGGCTTATGTTTGACTCTAAATCATTGGCGAAAATAGTAAACATAATCAGCGCCAACACTGATCCTTGAGGCACTCCACTGGTTACTCGTCGCCATGTAGAATGCTTTCCTCTAATTACTGTGTTCATTTGTCTTTCATGCAGAAAGTCTTTCATCCATGCGAGTAGGTTGCCTTTTACTCCACCTAGGTGCTCTAATTTCCATAGTAGTCTTCTATGAGACACCTTCTCAAAAGCCTTTTTAAAGTCTAAATACACACAATCCACCCAGCCGTCACTTTCTTGTAATATTTCAGATACTCTATCATAAAAACAGAGGAGATTTGTTACACACGACCTTCCTTCTCTAAAACCAAATTGTTTATTTGATATCATTTTGTATTTTTCAAGCATTTCAACCCATTGTTTTCTAATTATTCTTACTAGCAGTTTGCATACTACACTTGTTAATGAAACTGGTCTATAATTTAGTGGGTTTTGTTTGTCGCCACTCTTATCTAAGGGTGTAACATTTGCGAATTTTCAACTTTTTGGTAGTTTACATTGTCTTAGTGAATTTTGGAATATTAACAATAAAGGAGTACACACTTCTTCGGCACATTCCCTAAGAACCCAGTTAGAAATTTCATCAGGTCCCTCTGCTTTGGTCTTGTCTAATCCTTTTAGTAGATCTTTTGTTTCGTTCTTTTTGAGGGTGATATTTACGAGGTTCTTTACGTTTGTACGGGTATTTGCCATATCAAAGCATGGATCCTGAACAAACACTGACTGAAATTTCTCATTTAGGATTTCACACATTTCTTCCTCCTTAGAATATAATGTTATTGTCTTTGATGGCACTAATTTGATCCCTAGTTTTAGTTTTACTATTTATGTAGTTAAAGAAGAGTTTTGGTTGACTTGTACATTTGTTGATTATATCCTTTTCAAAGTCTAATTTCGCCTCTCTCATGGTTTGGGTATACTCATTTCTTCCTACTTTATATCTTTCACATTCTGCCTGAGATCTATGCCTCCTGAATCTTTTCCAAGGAGATGCTTTTTTCCCCTCATTTTCTTGCATTTGTCGTTGAACCATTTTTGGCCATTTCTTGCTTCAATTTTGAATTTGGATATGAATTTTTCCACTCCTTTTATATAGATCTCACAAAATTTTGAATACTGAACATCAAGGTTCTCATCATCCAGAAGTGTTTCCCAGTTTATGTTATCAAAGAAATCTATAAGGCTTCTATAATCACCTATTTTGTAATTGTACTATTCCTTTCTTTCTTTGCTTACGTTGAGTTTTTCCTGTAGCAGACAGTATTGTAGTTTAATCACTACATGGTCACTTTTTCCTAAAGGGTGACAGTACTACATGGTCGCTTTTTCCTAAAGGGGGACAGTACTCAATATCCTTAATATCGTCATTATGCTTTGTAAATATTAGGTCAAGCATAGACGGCCTATCTAGCCCTCTTATCCTGGTATGATCTGTTACATTCTGGAAAAGGCAATGCTCATTTATGACATCTAGTAATTTAGCATTCCACAAATCTGATTGCGCTCTAGGATCGAAACTTTCCCAGTCAATTTTGCTATTAAAATCCTCTGTAATAAGAATTTCTATTGAATTGGTTTCTAAAAGTTGTAGCACTTCTTCCAGGCTCTTTATTGTCTCTTGACTTAGATTCTGATAATTTTCTAGTGACCACACCAATGTTTGAGGTGGCATGTATACCGTGGTTATTATTATGTTTACGCCATTTGTTTCTACCTCAATTACCTTCATTTCCACTATGGGGTCCTGATTAATTTCTAACTCCTTTATAATAATTCCTTTCTTTGTTAATATTGCTACCCCCCCTCCATTTCCATCTGCCCTATCTATTCTCCAAATATTATAGTCTTTGAGCCCTAATGTTACATCGTCTATGGAGGGGTCCAGTTTGGTTTAAGTGATGCATATTACATCCAGTTTATCCATATCAATTATTGTCTCTAGTTCAAGCAACTTCGAATTTGTATAAACTATTTCTATATAATCTTTAGGTATTAAATTTGGTTGCAGGGTTAATGTTTGTCTGCCTCTACATTTTGGTTCCGAAAGTATATTTGCTTTGCTTGGAGACCTCTCACCCTCCAAACAAAAGTTTTTTCCCTCTACAGTCCTTTGTTCAATTTTTTTTTTTTTTTTTTTACTCTCCCAATTTCTTTTGTAGTGTTACTGTCATCTTTGGTCATGTTTTCTCTTATTCAGATTTTTTTTATGTTCCTCACGGGTGGCCAGAACTTTGGCTTTCTTTATTATATCAGTTACTATTTGCTTATTCAAGAATGTTACTTTTAGAGGCCATTTCTTTCGCTTTTCGAATAACCCCAGCCTCCTGTGAGCTATGTTATTCATGCTCGCGAATTCGGAATTATGACCTTGAGATTGTCTACAATTAATTTCTTGTCTTCGTTGTATCGATCAATTCCATCTTCTACAACTCTTTCTTCATGTCCCAATATGACTATGTCCTTGTTTACGTCAGCCAAAATAGCAATATTTCTTGCATGTTGCCAAAGGTGGGATTTGAATTCGTTCTTCTTAAAATCGTTGT